GGCGTAACTACGTGAAAACAACATAAAGAAAAGGAAGAAAATCACGTCGCGTAGAGATATCGAATTTTGACCCGGATAGGGTCAGCACTGGAGCGTGTGACCATTTTGTCACCCTCGCGAAAATTTTATTTACGAATATCCGTTGTATTCGATGTCCGAGAGCCGTGTAGATCAGCATAAAAGTGTCCTGCTCGTATCGATGATCGTTCCTTCTCGCGTCGGCGAGAACGCTGCAAACTTCCGGCTGAATTTAAAACGTCCAATTGAACGAGACGAGGATTTCTCGTCCCTCGATTTGCAGTTATACGTTGGGGGTTATTCTGACGGGGGCAGACACCGTCCTCCTCGTTGTTTCGAGGGTCGTTGTTCCGTGAGAATTCGCGTCACCACGAGGCAAACGAGAATTCGCGTCACGTAGGTGTCTCCACTTCGCGTGATAAGTCTCCTCGAAGAAATTACGCGTTAATTCGATGCTCTCGTCCCGCTGTTTGCCACGGTGTTCGCAACAACGAAAGGGAGGGTGCGAGGCTGTTCGAGCCTCGGTTGAATGGGCGAGGACGCACAGAGAGGCGAACAGAAAGAAAGAGAAGGAGAAAGAGAAAGAGAAGAAGAAAAAAAAAAAAGAAGAGGAAAAGAATTTAAAACAAAAAGTCAGTCGGGTGTCCAATGGCACGAAGCGCAACGGGAAGTGACGAGCTTGGTGGTTAGAGGTGGCTGCAGTAGAAATCCATCAGATGGAAGAGATCACGCCTGTCTCCATGCCCGGGACAATGACGCGGCCTGCAGACGCTTGTTTTTGTATTCCCGCTCTTCCTCGCTCTCCTTTCGTATTTTTCTCTTCGTCTTCTTTTTCCCATTTTTTTCTTTTCTTTTTTCTATTTTCTTTTTTTTCCCCTCTCCTCTCTTCCTTCCATTCCCGACTCCATCGCCACCCCCGCGCGTCCGATTCGACGCGGCACTGTGTTCCAAGCTGCGCGACGAACGGCCGAATGGTTAGGGGAGCTTTAAATATTTAGGCGGCTAATTTTCACGGAGGATTTTTAAGCCGACGAAGAAAAGTGAGAATTGAAAAGAAACGCGGTGACGCGGAGCAAGAAGAGGACTGTGGGCGAAATGTCCTCCAGACTGAAATAATAATGAGAGGCGCCAGCGCCTTTAATCACGATATTAAACATTTACGATTGCCATGGCGTCCTGCTCTTAAGACGACTATTCTTTTTCTTCCTTTTTTTAACGCGGCCCCGATCCGATCTTCCCTTCTGCACAAAGACCGCCACCTACTCCATCCTCCGGCCGTCAACGCCTCACCTCTTGTTTATGTTTACGTACCTTCTGATAACCTTACGCGAAGATCAAGCCCGTGGTGAACCAGCTTCCCGGGCTTCCTTCAAGATATACTATACAACCCGTGAACGGTGCAACCATGCGACCAACGCTCGAGATTATTGCCACAGAGAGACCAAGAGAAGAAGCACGGGAACAAGCAGGGGAGTGGTTGGGCTTTGCCTTTATCGCGGTTGCAACAGAGGGTCGGGAAACGAAACGAGAATCCGCTCAAAGGAAGCGTCGCTCGGACGTTCGAGGAACGGATCCATTTTTCTTGACTGTTACACCATGAGCCACCAACGGAAGATTATGTCCAGGCTGATTCTGGGCTGTATCGATAACAATGGCGAAAGGCAGCGGAGAATCGAACAGACGGGCAGCTTAATCCAGTCCTCGGTTTGTTTTGCTTTGCCGCGCGATTTGTCATCCATTGTCTGACCGAGCACGCTCAACCCGCCATGGTACCGTTATTTATGGTTTTCGCTTGATTAATTTTTGCCTCATCTTCGTGATATCTCGAAATTGTCCGCGTCAAGCGCAGCCTTTCGTTCGCTGACACTCGATTTACGATTTACAAGCGTTGTCCCATTGTCACTGCTCGGAACGCTGTCCGCGAGAGCAACGAACGTTGATTGAAAAAAATTCCGACGAATGGAAAAATTCTGTATCAACCTTGTTTACTGGCGCCGGGTTCGCCGAACTGATTGTCGGAATAAAATCTCGCTGAAATTTGCTGGCCAACGGGAGGGTTATTCCCGGGCCAGGATCTCCCGTTGGGGTGAAATCACATTTTTAAAGTTCGATTAAGGTGACGATAACGCGGGGCGATAGCCTGGGAAGACAGAGATGAATTTAATATTCCGAATCCGGATAACGCGATTTCACCGGACGTCAAGCTTGAAATGCGTGAGCATGAATACGATTTCCCTATCCGATTCGTCGGGGGATGCCGGGTCGCTTCGCAGTTTAAGCGTTTTCGTTCCGACTGTTTTCCAATTTCTTTCTATCTCACTTTCACGCTTCGACGTGCCGGAATTGAATTATCATGACACCGGTTGAAACGAACGAAGTGACGAACGAACGAACGAAGAATGAGCGAGAAACGAGCAACGAACCCTCGACACTCCTCGAGACACCGATAACAGTATGCTTCTAACTGATAATTCAAATTACATAATGCAAAGTGATCGTCGATTGATCGGGAGTTGGTTGCGGAATATGGGAGATGGAAGATGGAAGAAAAGAAAAAAAAATCGAACGAGTCGGAAGGGCAACAGGAAAAAAATAATGCGAAGTACCCAGGATTCGCGAACACCTACCCTGCTGCTCCGTTCCTCCCCTGTCGTTTACCCCCCAATCTCCCTCCTCCCTCCCCCTTTTTTCATAGCAGAAGACCCTTTATACGTCGGCCACAGTATCGACAGGAACGGCACCCCTTAGCTTAAGGGGGGACTTTCGAGGCTGCTCCATTGTGCAACGTTCGCGCAAGGGTTGCTTGAAATACGCGCGTCTGATTTTTTTTTTTCCCTTTCTTTTCAACGCGACCACCTCTTGTTCTCTTCCTCTCCTTTTCTCGGCGGTCCTGCAATCGTGCAAGTAACGAAGAAAGTCGAGATATTCGTGCGGTAACGTGAGAATGACAACAGATGCGGTGGAATGAAATTACAAGTGTCCCGGGTTCATTGTACGCCGGCAAGCACACAAGAGTTGTGCTTTTTTAGCGAAATTGTTGTGACAAGCATTTCAACGGGCGACTCTTGGCGCTTCCTTTCTTCTCGATGCCGGTACACGGGCCTCCCCTTTCTGAATAAGGGTGGTCTCATGACACTTTTACGGTGTCAAGTCCTGGTCTTCTGGGAAAAGGGCTGGCCTACCGGTTCGGTAATCCGATTTAATCGGCTCTTTTTCCTTCTCGGTACGGCGATTCGTATGAAACTGTTGGCGAAACTTGGAAACGTCGATAAAACATTTGACGAGTCTCTGCCATTTAAAGAAGGGGATGAACTATGCGTTCATCGTAGGGTCTCTGAATGCGTATCGACGAATATCAATTACAAAATGTGAAACAAACGATACCATCATGGAAACTATTGGTCAATGGTTGAATTCGCTAAGAAACTCGTTCGTACATTCGTATGATTATGCAAATACATGGAGACGGAAACGGTTAGTGCGCGACTCTCGGTAACAGGATTAACGGGCTAAAGTTGTTCCGCGTATAGTTTGCTGTCTTATCTCAGCCTCCCTAATTGTCCATGACTATTCATCAAGTCATTTATACTCAACTCAATTACCGCTGCCATCAATTACGAGACTCGAGTCGCTTCAAATCCAGCCTCAACGAAAGCTCCTACCATTTATCTTTAACGCGGAGATACCCCGTAATTGCAAATCAGCTTCTAACCCGTCAATTAATGATTTGTTAATGAAACCATTTTCTTTCTCGTTTAAAGATCATTTTCTCCATAAGGAAGCATTTAAGATGTTTCAACGAGAGACTGGATATAATGTATAATTTATAAGATGTGTTTGTACTATATATCGTTTGTACGTATATCCATTAAATACAGTTTTTAATTCAGTCGATTAATTAGTTGCAGTGTCTATATAAATATATTTGATCAATACTGGTATCATGTTTTATAAAAACATAAAAAAAATAAAAAAAAACATTTGCTAAGTGTGGGGTTCGAACCCACGCTCCCAGAGGGAACCAGAACTTAAGTCTGGCGCCTTAGACCGCTCGGCCAACCTAGCATTGTTGAAAGCGTTATATTATTTAGATACATATAGCGGCATACCATATAATTAAAAATATCTTTAAAAAAATTGTATGTTAAAAAGATTATTTAACATTCGCACTTATGACCTACTACTTTCATTTGTATTCAGATTACTTGTTAATTTATGTAAATTTATGTAAATTTATCAAATGACAGAAAAATAGGCAAATTTATCGTAAAAAAATAAAGAATGTTTCTTTGTTAGAAATTGTAAAAAAATTACGGATGCTATAATACAATTATTCACTTTTATTGTTTCCAGCGTTAACTAATGGTCGACTTAATGAAATAGTCGGATCAGATATAAACTGTATTTTCTCTATTATACGAAAACATACGCTGTGCTTTCGTGCACGCTTTCCTCAGGGAATATGACTGAAATAAAATAGATGGTTTATGTTACTTACCGAAATGATGGATAATCTTGGTTTCAATTTAGTCCGATAGTCGTCTACCTTTTCTTGTACCTTGACGTTCCTTCGAGACTTTCTTCGCAAATAATTTCGAAAGTAACTTGACAGGAGAATTTTCTTTCAATTGCAGCCATTACTGTACTAAATCGATAATGCCGTGTTCGATATCGATACATGTTCGAATCGATATACATTACGAAAATGGCGACTAGGTTAGGTGACCCTTAAAACGTAGACGCGAAAAATCATGGTAAGTCAGATTTGTCTTTATTGTATAGTCGGTGTCTCTGTCTGAATTTACACGCGTATTATCTACGATATTTGTACTGATATAAAAGTCAGGAACTGTGTACATAATGCGGTTATGTGTTGCATTGGCGATAACTTAGGTCACACTCACACACACACACATACACATACACCTACACGTTGGCGTCATAATAAAACCGAATCGTACTGTCTAGACTATATTTCGCGTCGTAAAAATACGGTAACTCCCTTGAAAGTAGTCGTGTGTCGTTCTAGTCGTTGTTACTACGTATATTTATACAGGGTAAGGTTTGATGTAGTGGCTGATGTTGGGATCGCGTGCCATTACTGTCGTACCAGTCTGCACCTATCCCATCGTTAAGGCGTACTCCGCCATGTCATTAACGTAATCACTCCCTGTCACTTTGGGAACTCGATAGAACACTCAATATTTTAAGTAGTCAAAACTTACTTTTCGTCTTACTTTCGACGTGATCGCTCGTGAATTTTCATTTGCATTTGCTTTAAAAAATACACGATAAATCGTTTTACGGTCCCAGATGTATACACGTATCAATGTATCGCGCGTTTAGGAACACTCAATGTATGTTTGAAAAATGCGCGAACTGCAGAGACGCCATTGAATAATTGTGCATTCGTCAGGACGCCACGCTACCGAGTGATGTGAAAAACAGGAAGGTGATTAATCGAGGCAAGAATTTCTACAAAAACGTATACGTCTCTGGTCCTTCTGATGCACAGATGCTAAATATGTACGTCGTTTTGAATTTACGTTGCGTATATCAACCTCGACTTGTCTTCGAAGGATTTGAGATTCTAAAGGTATTTATTCCGAGTGCGTGTATAGATGTTATGATTGTGCGTAATTGATATTAGAATTTCAATAATTTAGACCAAATTCGATTGCATTTTCGTGTGATACAAAGAGTCACGTAAAAGTGTGTTCATCTAATAAGAGTAATTAATCATGAAAAGCACTTATGATGCATATCGATAAAGTAGGTTATGATTAATTCAACATCCTTTCGAGCTCTATAGCAGAGAAGGAAAAGAGACGTTACGTTTTCTTTTCATTAGAAGGCATTGACCGAGTTCATAATACTTTTCTTTGTAAGCAAAGATTTACATAAGCTATAGAAGTGAATTTCGTGTCGTGGTTAATGTTCAAGATATTTTTGTGTGGAAACGTAATTGACAGGTTAGGTTATCGGGGAATAATCGTGAGATAAGAAACCACAAACATTGGTAAGTGAACGAAGGGCTTTGTATGTTAAGATTGATCAAGAATTTTGTTAATAAATATTGATTATAAGTATCGACGACACGCAATCGTCTTCGACCTACTAGGTTATCGTACGAAAGTAACAGTGTCCCTTTGTGTGATTTTTTTTGTCCATCTCGAGTTTATCACACTTCGTAAACAGTTTCTGTCCACTTATAGTACTTTTAAAAACACGTAATAGAGCATACCCGTTATCGATATTTGATATACAGTCGGGTTTTTATATTACCACATGACGTTTAAAAATATTAATAGGAATGAAGCGTGACTAGTCTAATAATCGATCGATAATAGGTAGTTTCACTTTGACCGTAACAATCGATCGATAAAATTTAAGTTGGTATTATTTTAAATCTTTGAAGATGGTATTACTGTAAGCTGTTGAAATTCAACAAACGGTTGCTGTATGTTTTAAATTTCGAAGCATTGTTCTGGTGGCTTTTCAGCATTCGCGGACTGCAGTGGTGAATGTAAAGTGTATGGCTGAAAAGTATGATGGGATTTCCGCTTTCTAGAAAATGCAGACGAAGCTCCATAATGATGCAGGTATGTAATCCTTTGACTTTGTGTATGGTCACAGAAAAAAAATTAGCTTTTTGAAATAATCCACGTGTGTTATTGGCTAGTAAGGGTCGTTTCATGTTCACCGCTCATTGTTTCTGCCGTAGCACGAGGGACTGCTTTTATGCCAATACTTCAAAGTGCCATAACCTACGTGGTGGTATCGTACGAGGCAAAAGTTACGTGAACCAGAATCTTCATTATCATCTTCAGGTGTCTTCTTATGGTAACGTACAACTTACAACCATTATCATTTTAGTAGTATGAGTGAGCTTTTTTATCATGCGCATAGATATACTGACTGAATGTTTTTCATCCCTTTGTTAGATATAATAAAATAACAATAAATTTCAAACGCAAATAAGATATTTACGTATGAAAAAAGTAGATTTTACTTTTATTATAAACTGCTTGTGTCTCATTTCTTATCTCTCGAACGTTGCATCTTTATATATTATTTCCGAATATATAATAAATAAAAAGCAACAGGATATTTATTGAAATTTCGCGAAGCATTTGTCGCTCTTCTATTTCGTTTTTTATTTCGTCTGTATATCTCTGCTTCTTATTACAATGTACGTACCATGTTGAGAGAAGCGGAACTTTGTGATGGATACGCGTACCGAACTGAGCATCGGTGGAGAGGAGTACTGTCGATTGCATTCGCCGACAGGAACACTAATCACGGGACTCGCTGTCTTTTAAGATTATTAAAATCGTCAAAGCTTCAAAGTCCTCAAAGGGTTAATTACCCTACGGGATATTTATGGCTGGGTTACTCTCTTCCCTCGCTCGCCAGGGAGCAGAGGCAAATAAAGGAGGAGCACGCGGACAGAGAAGAGGTAGACTGCGAACTACCGTGGAAAAGTCTTTTTTTTTTTTTCGTGTGTCATTGTCAGGGCTTGTAGATAGATTGCTCAGACGGAAATTGATTTCCTGCGCCGCGTCGAATACTTGAACGCATAACGTTATATATTTTTGTCTAAAGGGATAATATTTGATTTATGTCTGCCTTCCTGTCCAATGAATTTTTCGAAACGTATGTAATTTGAATTTACGAGCGCTAAACGAGTCTTTTGTCTTTTCGAAACGACTTTTTCTTTTTGAAAATCACTTCCTGGACTCTGGTTTGTATATTCAAGGCGTTTCAAATTAGGCAAATCTCTTTCGGAGCTTTCTAGAAACTTTGTATTCCAAATTCACCAATGAAATGGTAGCAATAATACACGCAATTTCAATTATATTTTTCTGAAGTACCAACTTTAACAAAACAAAGTTGAATCTTTAAATTTCAATATGCATCAATTAGTTTCGTTCGCTCATGTACTTTTCGGTTCGAAACTTGATCGAAACAAAAAGAAAGAAAAAGAAAAGGAACGAAAAGAAAGAGTCACGATATTGATTCGATAAAACCGGTAAATGGGCCGAGGCGCAACATGTAGAAAAAAGATACGAAATGTAATGTCGCGACAATGATATATACAACGTTTGTACTTTATAGCAAGCGCGTACTTGTAGACAAAGTGAGTACTTATTCGCAATCGCTTTAAAAGCAAGGGCATGCCAACTATGAAAGGTGTTAAGAGGAACCGTGAGCGAGCTAGCCGCGATAATACGCTCGTATAAACGTCTGTGTGTCTCATGTGGATTAACGCTCGAAGAAAAACGATCGTCTGCTGATGGGTACCATCGTTACATTTTAAAATATTACTGCCATACTGTTCCACGGCCGGTGATATGATTCGTTTGCATTAAGCATTCATACGTGTTCGTATCCGTAAATTGCGAAAAAATAACGGAATACTAAATGCACGAGATTTGAGCTACCAGCGAATGATTTTAGTTGTCCGTGAAGATTATTGTGTATCGTAATGTCATATCGTTTCTCGGAAAAGCCCTTTAGCAAATGGACTAAAATAACGCGGTTGCTTTTAGTCGATTCATTCGCGCACGATTTCATAAATTTGCGATTTTTTACAAATTTTATATCGCGTGTAAAAATTTTGGTCATGCGGTCATTTTTCACATTGGAATAGATCAGTACATGGAATAAATTTTAACTTTTACTTGGTATCATCGAGAATCGTCCTGTTTCTTTGCTCGTTTAAATAACGCTTTATGTATTAATTTATGCGTTCAGTTAATCGATTCTTGGTTTAATTTCACAGTAGACCAAGTTATACGACATTGCGCGATGACATTAACGAGACGACGAATTGTCTCCTATTCTGTAGACGCGTTTCAGTATGTTTAACGCGCCACTAACTTCGGAATGACGTGAATTACACGGGTGGCATTCGTCTGTACAGGATCGTTCACAACCGAAGCTAATTTTTGGTCAAGAAGAGTATGAAACACGTACGCAGTAACAGAAATGAAAACGTATATATATTTGACGAATTAAAAAATACGTTTGAACTAAAAAATACGAAATTCAAATTTTTGAGTTCGAAAGTCAATTTGAATGTAGAGTTTAGAAGTATAATTATTTCAACAGTTTTTGGATCGTTAAACAAACGTGAAATAGCATGGTGCCATTATTTAATGGAAAGTATCATTGAATAGAGATATATAATGTCAATATGTAACAAAAATATGCAGACGAAACAACGAAAATGTTATTAATGACAAACAAAAGCATTATTATACACAATATTGCAATATTGTACAATATTATATTTAATATAATACTACTAACGTATCCTCTTACGTCTTTCTGTTTGCCGACCAGAAGGTAAAAAATATTTCCACGCATTCGTGCCACGCTTTCCGATTTGCAACAACCTGTAAGCGAAAATTCGAACTTGCCATTTCGAAGAAAGGTTTCCCTTATCGCAGCGTGCAAGAGATGCTGGTCGACATAACATTTGGAACCCTCGTTCGTCGTACTAAACGTTCCTAAATGAATCGTTAATCGTTAACGGCGTGGCGTTACGACTCTCAGGCTCGCTTATAAACCGGAAATTCGTCGGTCGAATGTCCAACTGTCCAAATCGTTCAGCAGCGAAGCTCTTCCGGTCAATAAAGCCGAGCTTGTTTTATTGCTAAAAGAGACCTGGCAGGTCCTGGTTGTTTCTGACCCGTCATTAAAGCGCGCATTAAACGCACTGTTTTTTCATTTCGTTAAATCGTTTCGCCCTTTGCCCCTCTTCGACACCGGTTCCCCCTGTCTGTCTTTCACACACTCTCTCGCTCTCTCGCTCTCCTATATAATCGTTTCTAGTTCCCAGTGCCGCGAAACGAGACTCGTAGGATCGTCGAAAGGTTGTAAACGGTCTCTCATTCAATACGGAATGTCGACGTACGAACCGAATAATTCGGATTCCTGGCTTTATTAAGCTTTCGGTTTATGCGGGACATTCTGAACGTTGACCCACGTGCAGCATCGGAAACAAAGCCTAAGCGGCTCGGGAGAAGTTCGTGAGTTCGACTTTGGGTTTTGACGAGCAGCGTAAAAGCGTACGCGTGTTCGACCAGCAATGATAAAAACGATTACGCTCGAGCAAACGGTGCTGCTCATTTAATCGTCGTAGTTAAGCGGTTCATGTCATGGTTTTACGGGTGAAATTCGCCGTGACAGAGCTAACGTTCGTCGGTTAATTTTTTTTCTTTTTTTTTTTTCTTTTTTTACGCTACCACATGGGCAAAAAAGGGAAGGTAAAATTAGGAAATTGCAGAGTTGAATCGCAAGGCGTGACAATTTCGATTCGTTTGTAACGTTCGCGCGACGAAGAAAGGAGTTTAATGCTATTTATGGGAAACGGAAGTGCCGCTGATTTATAGTATTTCCACGATCGCGCATGATGTTTTATGCAGCGGCGGACAATACGAGCGTATTGTCCGACAGGTTTATAGCTTTATTAGCTCTTTTGTACGTTCGAAGAAAATTCTAATTCGTTTTTTGCGTCTCTGAACCCCTTGGTCTTCTTTCTTTCTTTCTTTCTTTTTTGTTTCTCTCGCTGTCCCGTTGATGCGAACGTATCCGACCCGGTCGCGCCCCAAATAATCGTAAAATTCGATAATTAAATTTAATCGCACCTCTTTAATGGCTGCTCGCCGTTGCTATTGTGTTCGTCTACCTAGCGTTTACTGCGATGCTCGATTACGCCGAAGCTTTAAAACGATGATATACCATTATGATTCTGACACGTCATTAACTTCGTTAGTGCTTACGACAGCTTAGGCTGTTTGTTCGAGCGTCGTGAGCTCCACCGAGCGTCGAAACGCTTGTTTTCTCGCGACAAAAATTTTCGTAATCATAATGCTGGAATACATATAATTCTCGTTTCTCGTTGCATTTTTCTTTTTTTGAAAATTCAACGCGAGTACGGTTTCAACTAATATCGAAATAGAAGTCGTGAAAAAGGCAGTGTCTAGAGCGCGTACGTTATTAATGTTTTGTATTATACGCTGGTATTCCATTAGACGGTCTGCGTTGATACAGCAAGAACGTATATTTTCCACGTTATTGGTCATCCGTCTTGAAACCACGCGGCCATCGTGGCAAGTTGTCGCGGCCGGAGGCAGGTTTCGATTAGCCGACACAACATGTCGCTGATCCTCGCGAAAAATACGCGATTGAAATTACGTGTACGTTTCTCGCACGCCGTTCCGTACGTTGGCTGTTTTTTTCAAGGGTAAAACAGAGTAGACGAGAGAGGAAGAAGGGTATCCATTTGAAGCTTGTTGGGAGGAACGAGGGAAATAAAAGAAAGAGAGAAAAGCGGGAATAAAGAAGTGGAGGAGAGAGAGAGAGAGAGAGAGAAAAAAAGGAAGAAAACAAAAGAAAGGAGTAACGATACGTCCGGAACGCAATTTGTATTCTGTCATACGGCCGGGGGTCGTTGTATTAGCAACGCGACAGAAAACTTATCGCGGTGCTTAAAAGCACTAGCCCGGGTATTAAGCGTGGCGATACTACTCGAGCAATCTTGTCTTGCTAAATGCTAGAGTGCACGTAATTCCACGGAAGATATTGGATAACCCTCGAGTGCATCGTCGACCGTGAACGGGCAACAGGAGGGTTAACTACGTGGAATATATATCTTTATCGTCGGTGAAAACGTGCGTATCACGGTGATAGTTCATTTTCGACGTGGAGGAGTGCTTCATCGGGGATCGCCAATTAAAACGTCGTACTGCCAACAATGCCGTAGAATGGAGCCCGCAATTCCGCGCTTCATCGACGTGGGTTTTTGATGGCGGAGGCCTCTGGTGCTCGCGACC